ATCGGAATCTAACTCAAAAAAATCTTTAAAAATGTGCTTTTTGTCAGTTGGGCTATTAAGACGGACAATTTCATTCTTAATGTCATTTGAATCAGTAAACATTTCTTTTTAACTAATTTAATAACAAATCTAATGGCGGGCGAGGCATAGAATTTATTATTCATTTTCTGGTCTAAAAGAATTTATTGTTCATTTTATTGATGTGTCCTTATCGATCGCTGACAAATGACAATGTTTGTTTATTTCTTTAGTATTAAAATTTTTAGCATCACATTATAATTAACATATTTGTTATTGGAATGAGCAATGCTTGTGAAAATAAATACTAATTATAAGATCACTTCCCAATTTCCGCGCATAAGCATTGAGCATTCACCGGAACGAAAGGATGTTGCTAGCTTGATGCCCGGCAACAGTTGACTCTCAATTTTAGCTAAGTCACATGTATACGTTGTTAATTAAATTTTTTTAATACTTAAGGGAAAATTAAACCCTAAGTCCTTATAGTTATAGTGAATTTTGAATCAGGTTCTTACATTATTTTTTCTTTTTAAGCACTCCTTATAATTTCAGCCATTGGTCATGTTGATCCTTCCATCTTCAAAAATATCATAAAGACATAACGACGTTAACTTGCTGAAGTGGGAAACCGTTCATTGACCGAAAATTGAGGTGCGTACTCCACAAACAAGAACGTCTAGGTCTTCAATAGAGAGCATCTCCTTGTCTTTCTCACCAAATACGTCGCTGATCTCTCCCACCAGTTCATTTGAGACTGAGGCTGCTTCACTCTCCTCATGCCCAGCAACTTCTTCAATGATCTCAGGTCTGTCTCATCATTTACATGCATGTCAGCAGAAGGAGTAGCATGTGTATGAGACATGATCAACACACACTAAATTCCAAAAATTTGATCCTACGTGGTTGGATATGGGGCATAATGGGCAAGTAGGTGCTTTCTACCCAAATTAATGGTGGCGAACGAGAGGACGACTTTGATTGCTTTTGTGAGGTGAAAAGGATTTTAACATTGCAAGGCAATCAAAAATACAAAACCAAAATTCACAATGAATATATTAAAGTGAAAAATTAATATTTTTACCTCTATTTTTGTAATATATTAAAAAAGATTATGCCACAATATTGTTTTATTTGCTGTGTTTTTGGCCCCAAAAATAGGACATACAAAGTTGTGGCTTGGCACTACTATAGTTGAATGTTATGAGATTCATGTAGTCTACAGAGAGACCAGTACCTCGATGATGCTGTTAAGTTATTGGAGACCAGAATTATTTTTGTACTGCATATGGATTGAAGATTTTGATTAACATTTATCTGTCTCCTTCATTTTTCGTTATTATTTGGTTTATAAACCTTTCAATCAATACGGGTAGAGTTAAAAAAACTTCCACTTTTTGATAGCTGGTATGCAAATTTCATTGATTAGGTAATAACTTGGCCATGGTGTCAATTAGAAAATTGAAACTTTTATTTTTGTTTTGGTCAATTAATTTACCAAAGATGGATTTCTCCTATTTCACTTTATCCCAAAAGAATGAAAAAAAGACTTGGATCTGCATACAAAAGTCTGCAATGGCAAATAGTTGTGGCTTGATCTTGATAATATTTGGGAACGTGTATGCAGGGACTTTAGAAAGCTAAAATATGTTAATTTTTCAACATCCCATTTATCACTGGATAAGATGAGAGTGAACTAACCTCTGTTTCAAATGAATAGGTGGGAGAGATCAGCAATGTATTTGGCAAGAGGGACAGTGAGATGCTCTTTGGTGAGACAGCCGATCAATCAACCATCACCCTCTTTAGCAAGTCAACGTCGTTACATCATTTTGACGTTTTTGAAGACGGAAGGATCAACATGACTAACGGTTGAAATTATAAAGGGTGCTTAAAAAGAAAAAAAATAGTGTAAGAGTCTAATTCAAAACTCACTGTAATTACAAGGACTTAGGGTTTAATTTTCCCAATATTTAATATAATTAATTTTTTTAAAATAAATTATAACTTCTTAGATGCCATTAAATGATAATCATGTATAAATAGAATTTCAGTATACAAAATTACACCATATAATATATATTAATTTTAAGAAAAATTTTATATAGAATATGTATTAATATATTTATGTGCTTATGTTTTCACTTTATTTTCATATGTCATTATAGATTATGTTATGATTTTAAAAAAATAGGAGAGTCTTCAAATTAAAACTTAAAAAATTATAAATCAATCTACATATTTTAATTAATAATATTTTATTTAAATATGACTAGAATGTTAATAATATAATTAATTTGGCTGATCTATATGTATAAGTTGTTAATTTAAGTTTTTTAATATTTAATATAATTAATTTTTAAAAAATAAATTGTAACTTCTTAGATACCATTCAATGATAGTCATGTATAAATAGAATTTCAATATACAAAATTATACCATATAATTATAATAATTTTAAGAAAATTTTCGTATAAAATATATATTAATATATTTATGTGCTTATGTTTTCACTTTATTTTCATGTGTCATTATAGATTATATCATGATTTTAAAAAATTAGGAGAGATCTTCAAAACTTATAAAATTATAAATCAATCTACAACTCTAAATACCTTAAAATTAATAATATTTCATTTAAATATGATTAAAACGTTAATAATGTTGATTTCAAATTAAAATAGGTCGCTGGCTTGCCCCTTCGCCAAACAAGGGCTCATAAGTGTTTCAAGATCACTAGTTTTTACACTTTTTATAGAAAACTTGAATACTTATATTCAAACTTTTTCCTTTTTGACCAGCTATCATATATTCAAACTGCTTAGTATGAAGTTACTTATTATCATGAATTTTCACCAGAATAAAGGTACTAATAAGAAAAGTTAGTTAGAAACTAAATCATTTGTATTAAACAAATCTTAATTTAATAAAAAAACAGATGCGTGGCAAAAAAATTAAAGCTTAAGTTTTTTTTTTTTTGTTAAGATACTCTGTGGAAATTTAACAAGCGATGGCACTATAGAAAAAGTCATTAAGAACGCTGGCCAGAAAAAAGAGTCATTAAGAAATTTGGTGACGTAACAGCTAGCTCCCATGGCATTTAATTATTACGCAAGTGATCTCATGCATGATGCAACCTATTGGCTTTTTCTTTTGGCAGAATCTCGATTGGTTGATTTGACTTTAAGAGATTGGCAAACCCAATGATATTTTTTATACAACCAAAATTTATTTTGACTTCTTATAAGTTTAACTATTTAATAATATATTTATATCCACGTGATATATATGATATATTAAGGGTAAAACAGCTAGCATCAGCATTTTGATTTTATTTATAGTACTTTTTTTTAATGTTTTTTGCATTCTAATTTTATTTATAGTGTAGTTAACACTTTGAACTATACGTAAGATTAGAGTGCTTAATATAATTAAAAAGATAATATTGAATGCAAGATTCACTAAGAAAATAATATCAGGACATTGGATGTATTACAAAAAACATTAAAATACTGATAGTTACTCTATCCTATTTTTAAAACCAATATAATTAAATTAGTAAGAAAATTAATAAAATTGATATAAATCATCTAAATTCTTTTACAAGGAGTGAAAAACCAATTAAGATGGATACATTATTAATAATTAAAGAGAATGATTATTTACCTTTAATATAAGCGGATCATAAATTAATTTAATTTCATAAAAAAATGATGACTCCTTTACTCCTCATAGCAAATTTATGCAATCAGGTAAAAAAAATTTTAATCACTGTTTTTACAATTTCAACGTCTGTTTCAATTTTAAATAACTTTTAGTGTTCATTCATTTTAATCCGCCACTCTGTCATTATCAAGCGCCTCCCTTTATTTTTAATATTGCATACAATAAACTCCCCACACGTCTTTGTTCTAGTTTGTCCTTATGAGTGCTATCGTGTTTGGTGGAAAAAAGCAATTCTTCTTACCCTGAATTAGTGTTCGAGTTTTTTTTCTTTTAAATATAAAAACTCTTAAATTTATAATTTTTTTAAACTATTCAATTTTTATTGCATATATTAAAGAAATTCTTTATTTGTGAAGTAATTTTTAATGCAAATAATTAAAAATAATGATTTAGGAAAACCAACGTACATTCTTTACACATAACTACTTAATTAATTTTTTTAATTTCTACGAATTAATTATCCAACTCACATGTATATATTGAAGGCAGTAACCTATATATTTGAATCAAAGTAGTCTGTATGGGGTGTTTTCCCCACATATATTTGTCGTCATTTGTGGCTATGAAGCCAAAACTTTTGCATATTTATTCTCAGCATAATTCTCTATCTATCTATCAATAGTGTTCTTTTGTCATCACTTACAGGATAACTTTTGCGGCCATCCAAGGGCCAAGTTATATATTCAATGGAATTATTTATTCTCACCGTCGTCAGTGTATTTAATTAATTAATAAGTACATGAGCAGAAAATCCTAGAGAGAAAAGGAAAAGCATTATGAAGATAATGCAAGAGAATATAACTTAAGTTGGAGTTCCATCTTGACGGCTTTAGAAAAGTACTTTAAATTGCGTAAACGGAAATACTACCCAACGTTCAATCATATTCTAACTCTTAGCTTCCTTTAACATTCCTCACCAACCTACTCCGTACGATACATCGAATAAACGTCCAAAATGCTGCCTCCTGCATACCTAACTTCTTGTCCAAAATAAACACAATGAACGATTAAAAAAATTACTAAATTAATTTAAAATATTTATATTTATAATTTTTTAATTAATTTGTCTTACTTATAAATTGAATATAATCTAACGCTATAATAATTAAATAATTTAATAACTTTTTTAATATTTCAAAATTAATTAACTAGATCTTATTTTAAATATCAGAACATGTATGTGTGTGGGTCAATATATATATATATATATATATATATATCTCACCCCATCACCATATTATGCACCCACAAATTCACAGTTGTGAGCCACAAAAATGGAAGGCGAAACAAAAGCAAGAAGGGGTCACTGTGTAGTGTTGGCATATCCAGCTCAAGGTCACATAAACCCTATGCTTGAGTTCTCTAAGCGTCTTCAACTTGAAGGAGTTACTGTAACCCTTGTCTGTACTATCTCCTACTGCAACAAGTTTCACAAACTTCCCGGTTTCAATATTGCCTTCGAGACCATCTCCGATGGCTTTGACGACGGCGGGTTCGACGAAGCAGGGAGGCAGAACGTCAACTATTACGAACGGTTTCGTGAAGTAGGGACACAGACTCTTATTGAGCTCGTTGAGAAACTTAACAGAACAGGGAAACCTGTTGACTGTATCGTTTATGATTCATTCTTGCCTTGGGTTCTTGAGGTTTCGAGGAAATTAGGATTACTTGGGGTGAGTTTTCTGACGCAGAATATTGGTGTGGATAGTATATACCACCATGTGAACAAGGGAAAGCTGAAATTTCCATTGGTGAGAGATGAAAATATTTCTCTTCCTGGATTGCCAACTTTTGAGCCTCGGGATTTGCCTACTTTCTTGTACGAATGTGAACCGGGAGATCCAGTTCTGGATTTGGTGGTGGGTCAGTTCTCCAACATTGAGCAAGCTGATTACATTCTCTGCAATTCCTTCTACGAGCTTGAAATTGAGGTATGGTCAAGTAACTCTTTGTGTCTTTGTGTGTTTGCCTTTGAAGATGTCAAATGATATATTCTTCCCTCAACTGAAAAGAAAGTTGCGAAATTAAGTTTAATCAAAATGTCATTAAATTGATTCTAGAGCAAGTTACATCTTTAATCTCTATTTTCAAGACCTTCAATAAAATAAAGAATTAATGATGGAGGACTTCCGTTTTCGTTTAAGATGTATTCTTGTATGCCTTAAAAATAAAAAGTGATCCGTATGATTTTAATGAAAATCTGATCAGAAAATAATTTATGTTGCTTTCAAAGAGTGATAATGTATATGTGTTGTTTATAGCTTATGCCTATTCTTCATATTGGATACTGGATTTAGTTTTATTTAATTTAATCGTTTGGTTTTAACGGTAGCTCATTACTCTTCACGACTTTTATAATAAATGAAAGGTCCACCAACTCACATTTCTCAAGAACTAGTTTCGGTACTCATTACAGTGATGAGCACTCCCAGCTCATCATATCTTAACCATTTATATTTAATTTGAATAGTTCAAATTTAATTTTTTTTTTTGGTTTAGTTTTGGGCACCCCAAGATCATTATATTTGGACCATTTAGATCTAATTTGAATAGTCTAAATTTAATTTCTTTTTTATTTATATTTGTTAAAATAATTATTTTAATGTGTATGAAATCTAAAACAAAAATACCCTCTTAACTATCATTTTTTGAAAAATAATTTTTTTAAAAAATAAAAAAAATTAAATATGAGCCATGCAAATCAAATTTGAATGGTTCAAATATGATGAGTTTGGAGTGCTCTTCACTTTGATGAGCACCAAAACTCGTTCCCATTTATTTCTCATCATGAGAGGCATTATTTCATTTATGCCAGCATCTTGCCAACTGCCAACTTGCCCCCTGAAAGTGTATTTTAGGTAGAAGATAATTATTTGACAAAGACTTGACCAAAAATTTAATCTTTTCAATGTTGGTTGTTCTTTAATTTGCTTCTAAATTTAGGTGAACATGCCTCCCTTTTCTTTTTAATGAGAGGCCCATTGAATTAAGTCATCTTTCACGGAAGCGGAAATTAGTTATACCTAACCTATAAAATTTGGCTTTTAGGTTGCAGCTTGTATGAGAAAGATTTGGCCAAACTTGAGGACCATTGGACCGACCATGCCCTACGAGTTCTTGAACAGTAACATTAAAGCACTTGAAGATGAAGAAGATCATGGATTTGCCAAGTTTAAGAGTGAAGAATGCAGCAAATGGTTAGAGGATCAACCAAAACAATCAGTTGTTTATGTGTCATTAGGAACAATGGTACCTCTCACGGAAGAGCAAATGGGAGAACTAGCATGGGGTTTAGCGGATAGTGGGATCACATTTTTGTGGGTAGTGAGAAAATCTGAAGAAGCTAAGCTTCCTAAGAATTTTCCCAGAAAATCACAGAAAAGTTTGGTGGTTTCATGGTGTCACCAACTCAAAGTCCTCTCACATGAAGCTATAGGATGCTTTGTTACACACTGTGGTTGGAATTCAACGTTGGAAGCTTTGAGTTTAGGAGTTCCGATGGTGCTTATGCCACTTTGGAGTGATCAAAGAACAAATGCAAAGATTATTAAGGAAGTTTGGAAAATAGGAGTGAGGGTTCAAGTTGATGAGAAAGGGATTGTGAGAAGAGAAGCATTGAAGAAAAGCATTTGGGAAATCATGAAAGGTAAAGAAGAAGGAGCAAGTGACGTGAAAAAGAATGCCGTGAAATGGAAGAATTTAGCTGCAAAAGCTGTTAGCAAGGGTGGAAGTTCTTGGAACAACATTCAAGAATTTATGGATAGCTTTTCCCATTCAGAAGTTAATTAAATCAGTTCCTATGTTGCCACGCGTATTTAAGGATGTTTTAGTAGCGTTCTTAATTAATGTCTTGTAATAAATGGAATGAATGCTACGAAGGAAATGGTAAATATATTTGAATGGATGACACCAATTTTCCCTTTCTATATATTTCCTTTTAATATTTGATTGCTGGATTAATAGGTAAATTTTGTTATGAAATTTTTCCATATCTCTATCCACAATTTCTCTACAAAAAGATAAAAAAGAGTCATATAATAAGGGAAAGAGAGGCGAGAAAAAGGCTAGAAGACATGGGTTCCGCCATAAAACGGGAGGAAGAGAATGATGGAGAAGTTAGGGTCCAAATCCATAATTTTAGTCAAAATTCAAAATTTTGAAATTTCAAGAAAGAGATGTAATTACTGAAAAGTCTCACAATAAGTGGATAACACTGACAAGTTCCAAGAGAAGGGTGTACTTCCTCTTATTCAAAATATAAGATAAACTTTATTTACTTATGTTTTTCAATAAATTAGTTAAAATCAGTATAAAACAATAAATATACAAGGCATGCATTTTTTTTTGTCAAATGTACCTTTATTAATAAAAAGAATAAGTAAAAGATGTAATGAATGAATCAAAGAGGAAAGAGAATATATGTTAGGGGTAAAATTCGGAAAAACTTATTAAATACTTAGACAAAAATAAATGTTATCTTATAAAAAACTAAGCCCCCAACAAAGTTTATCTTATATTTTGAACTGAAAGGAGTATTTCTCTAGTCATATTCGTAAGGCAAAGAAAAATATTTTTCTTAATCTTATTTATAAGTCACGTTATTAAATTTTTAGCACTTCAATTTTGTTCTCATTTTTTATAGTGTAGATGGTTTTTTTAAAGATGTGTATATTAAATATGAGTAAAATTAAAAAATTATTATATTTTAATAGAGAATTAACGTAGTTTAAAATTTTTTTAATTGGTGTAAAATATGTTGAAAATGTCCTATTTAGGATCAGAAAAGTAATCACTAAAGAAAGAATGCCTTGTTGGCTCCATAAAAGTTTTTCAAGCATACCAATATTGATAATACTTAGAGGAAATGCTACTAATCACGAGATGCTCCGTTTCCGTTCTCATCAGTTTAAAATCTTTAAAATTCTCAAAATGTGACCCCTCCTATTTATACTTACATTTGCCCTGGTACCAACCAAATCCTGTTTTGTGGAAGACCCGTTTCTCGGGAAACATGATATTCCATTATCATCCAATAAAGACCAGAGTCTCTGGCTTTGGCACTTTGGAAGCCTTGCAGTTGCAGACTATGAAGGGCTATGGAATTGAAAACACTGAAGCATTAAAAAGATTCTAGAGAGAGAGAGAACATTCTCTAGAATTAGTGTCTTCGTCAAATTCAAAGTCCATGTTATTTTTCCTGAGAAGTGGAACCGATGGCTCAACTTTTAATACATGCCCCATGAGTTTAATTATTTTATTCATGCTATTAGCATTAATAATTTAATTTAATAAATTTACATTTGATCACACATTGGGTTTGCCTTACAAGTAGTTCTCTCGTCTTCCAAATCTCATAGCGTGACTTGCATTTCCGCCAATGCTTCTATCAGTTCAACCTTGCAAAGCTTTCAAGGTCAAAAAAAAAAAAAAAAACCTTGCAAGGCTTTCAGTGGAACTGACGAAGCCTTCGTTCTTCAAGATACTCATCAATGATTTCTCCAACCGCTTGGCTTGTACCCATCTTCCTTATATCCTTCAAATTAGCCATTGCATAAAATGTTTCCTCATTAATCTCCCAAGGTTCATGTCTGTGTTATGTATTTTCTCTATTTGTTAACAGCAAATCCCACCAGCTTTTATCAACATGTTCGGTCAAGGCATTCCAAACAAAACGATTCTTGAGGCTTTTGGTGAAACTGTACGAGTCAAGGTGGAAAAGATTCGAAAGAGATTGTACTTCAGTAATGGCTGGAGTAACTTTGTGAAAGCTAATAATTTGGAACTAGGTGACTTTTTACTCTTCAAATATTACCCAGATGAGTCAAAGTTCAAGGTTACAGTCTATGGGAAAACATGCTGTGTGAAGCAGTTCATTAATGGAGCTAGAGAGAGGTGTTCTGAACCAGTGAATGGTAAAGAAGATCGGAGAAAAGTAGAAGGAAGAAAAAGGAAGCAGGTTGATAATGAAGGTTTCATAGAAGCAAAATGCATTAAGAGTGAATTTGATTCAACTGAAGCAATTAATATCGATTCTGATTCTTCTGATGATGATGATGAAGAAACTGGTAAGCTTCATTTATGAATTGCATTTCATATTGATTTTCAAGCTGACTCATATATCGTACATATATATTTGCTTTTAATGTAATTTTCATCACATATGCAAGTTTCAAACATATATATATATATATATATATATAGTCGAAGTGTTAAAGTGACATATGATTTGTCACGTCAAAAACCTTAACGCCAAATTAAACTGAGTACAAAGAAAACATTTTTCTCTTAGCATGAAAGTTTTCGCCTTTTGTTTAAAATCTAAGGAGGTAATAGTGAAATGAGGATATCTAATCCACCTTACGAACAGGCATAAAAAATTTACACAACGTTCAATTGTTGATTATTTGATGCAGTGGCTAGTCACATGAGAAAGTCAATAAGCAAACAGGAACAAATATCACTAACAACCGAACAGTTCAACAAGAGAAGCCAAAACAACAGGACAATATTGGTTCCTGGTTATGACCAATTACAATTATCGTCTGAGAATCCTTTTTTTAAAGTTCAACTCCGTTTGCATATGTTGCTGGTACTGCTCTGGTAAGAAAGTCTTGATGTGTGTGTGTGTACAATATACACACACACACAAATATATATAAAACACTTTCTTAGTGTATACTTTTGCTTCCATGTAGACGACTCTCAAACTTTTTTCCCCATAAAAGCCGTAAAATGTAACATTTCTTTCAGTTTTCATGTTGAACACTCCCGTGTGAATATTGCAAGAAAATAATGCAATGATTTGACTGAAATCAACTTTGAGAAACCTGTCACAGGTTTATGTGGAACTATATATCAGCATAATTCTTGTAGTGTATTGTCTGTAACAAATGGTTTAATCCTGCGAGTTTGTTCGTGACTGTTATAGAAAATACATCAATCTGATGACAATGTTCCATGTTTGGTCTTATGCATGCGCATATGCTGTGCAGCACGTACCGGCAAGATTCGTCAGTCGACATATGAAGAAGGAAAGCAAAAAGGTAAGGATTGAGATATCCCAGAAAACTTGGAATATGAAGCTTAACGTGATCGAACGTCAATGTGGTGCCCAAGCAGCGACAATAAATCATGGATGGAAGAGATTTGTGGATGAACTTCATCTGCAAATTGGAGATGTTTGCTTTTTTGAATTGATCAAAAGTGATATCCTGATTTTGTGTTCAATGTTCACGTTTGTAGATGGGACCGTGAAAAGGCCAAGTTTTGTAAGATTTTCTAGTTACTAATGATTTTGATGACATGTGGTGTTATCGTTCTTAAGCTAGTATGGTTTGTTTTCCAAATATAAGACTTGTCTGATTTGCACAAACACCCAACAAATACCAATTTCTTAACAGCTATACAGAACAGAGGAACATTGACTCCTGTCAAGGCAGTTTATCATAAAAAATGGGTTGCTCTATGGAAGATGAAGGCATATACAGATGTTCTACACAACTGCAATTTGTAAATCACAACAACACAAGTATGAGACTTAAAGTCTCCAGAGATAAATGTAACATGTAAGTCATCTGCAAAGATACAAAACATTACAAGCAAAATAGAGTCATGTCCCCTATTATTGAAATTGGGGTGAGGAAAACATTACAAATATATAAATAGTCCCCACAAAAACCATTAACTCAAAATGACATGACCTACCTTCAAAGCTCAGATAAAGGATGTTAAGGTCCCATCGTTTGTGTCCAAGAAATAGTGCCATTTTGTAACCAATACTGAATATAGCACAACGCTTCACAAGAACAGCCTCAATAATAGAATATATTCTGTCAGCTAGGGATTCAAGCATAAACTTAAAGGTGCACAAATGGTGAAGAACAAGTGATGGAAGAATTTTTTTTAAGGAATCCACTGTGGTTGCAACTCCAAATATTAAGATCATTAGCACATGTTTACCCATTCACTGCTTGAAACAGAGGAAGAAAATGAAGCCTGTTGTAAAATCATCCAAGTGAGAGGCACCATTGTACAGGGATATTCAATCACTAGATACAATCTAAGCGTTATTCACTATGACAATATGCACAAATCTATTACACAACATACACGGACACATATTTACAAAGAAATACTCAGAAGATGCTTAAACATGGCTTCACATGGGTATAAAATCAGATAACACCGTCCTAGAGCATCTTTCCAATTATTGATTAGAACCAGGGGCTTATTGTAGTTTCCCTGTTCTCTATATCATGATGCTAAGTTCGCTATATCAGCCGACTGCCAAAAGATAGCATATTAAAGAGAGAAAAATGTAATGGGCACAATAAATGTAGATAGAATCAATTAAACATAAGAATGTAGAAGCATCAAAGCTTTCAGGCAACCAGCAATCCCATTTTTTCACTAAAATTTCTAAGGATGATAGATACCAACATGGCAACCTTGCAATTCCAGAACAAGACTAAGCTCTTCAAATGTCAAAATGTCATCAACAAAATCCATGTTTTCTGCCACCCATCACTCAACCAAAAACTTATCAGAAATCTATTTAAAGTGATGTTACCGTCATTTAACTTATATGCTAAACAAAAGCAACTAATATAAATTGCATCTCACAGAATTGATAGATGCCTATTTCAATTATAATGATATTAGCAATCAAAGCACTATAGGGTGCAAAAACATCAAATAACTAGATCTAAGAAAGTTGATTTAATAGCTTACTGGTAACGACCAACCCAACCAATAGCTGTCAAGGGGTACTTCTGTTCAGAACAGGAAAAGATCCAATTTAGTTGGCAAACTGGGTTCTTCACTTCATCTGGCAGCATTGCAGCATGCCAGAACCCATTGTCGTTTTTCAACAAAAACACCGGCATTTTTATCT